GGTCAATACGAGATGGTACAAAACAGCCCACTCTCGACAAGAAAAGACAAGAGAAGTCGAGAGAAAAGTAACATTATAAAAATTCTGTAATTTTTTAATTCTTGGCACGCAAACGGCAACTTTTTTCCGATACTGAACGAAAAATAACATTTTAAAATTTGTTTTTGATATTTGATTTAGTACTTGTGACGTACTGTTTGGAACCTTTAGTATAGTAATGATTATTTCTGGAGTTTTATCACCTTCAAGAGGAAGATTAAAGTTTATTCTTCCTTTTGAAGATGATAACTTGGTGATTAAAACACCTGTCGAGCTGTTAAAAATAATGGTTTTGTGTATATTCAGTAATATTAATTTGATATAGTGGCTTGAATTGAAATGTTTATATTCCTAAACATCGATGTCTGACATTAAGGATGATAGCAATCCATATGAGTGAAATATTTTGTCGTGTAACTCTTTCATATATTATATTGAGTAGCATTCCTATGAATGATATCTGATTCAATTCCATAACGAATGTTAAGGTACAAACTGAATAGGAAAAGGTGTTTTTGTATAATTCAATGTTCATATACATGAAAGTACGAGTAGGTGTTTAGGAGGAAGAGTTTTCTCTTCCAGTTTCTGTCTGGAGTTTATTATGAAACTATCTACCCCACGTTTTTTGTATGAAGATGGAGAAGTTGAAAGCCAAAACATTTGTTTGCCATATAGTAGTTGTTGTTTTAACTTGGTTAGGTTTTCAGATCCATCAGGAAAATTTTATATGCTAGAAATAACGAGTAGCATGCGTCATTCGGCGATCAACCTTCACAATCGAAATATTTCAACCTTCAGACAGTGAAAAACTGACGAACTATTAGCGACTGAAAGATAAATATACATATTGATTTTCAAATGAATGAAGATGATCCTGAAAGAAGTATGCTCATAAGAAGAATTATTGTTCGCCATTTTGTGTGGGAAGAATTATCAAGTATCCGGAAGAATTTTAGCAGTAAGTTTTTATAAGTAGTGAAATTACGACTTTAAATTCGAAATTTCGACTATGAACTCAAAATGTTGAGCTTTAGGTCGAAATTTCGAGTATATGCTCAGCGTTTTGATTTTAATTTCAAAATCTCGACTTAAAACTCTGAATTTCAAGTTCTTCAGACCGTGATTTCCAAGAAACAAATAATTAATATATGTGACCCTTATGCCGTTTCGTGAAGAGTTAACATTCAAAGAAAATTCGCACTCATGGTACCTCTGTTAATATTGAGCACGAAAATCGTGAACGTGTAATAATATCCTATTCCGAATGAATCAGATCGAATAGGATCAAGAAAGTATAATATTCAATTTCGAAAAGCAGCGAAACGTAACGACAATAATTCGGTTATACGACGATCGACGAAAAAATTGTTAAAATCTAAAATTATGCAGATTCCTGACTAGAGATTCGTCGGCAGAAAACATAAACAAGGGATGCGGAGAGGTGCGCGCGGTCGGGGGGAATAGGATCAGAAGATGAAATAAAACAAGGAGAATGAAATAGCGAGGGTGGATATGAAATGGGGTGGAGTTTACAGAAGCGGAAGTAAATAGGGACGCGCAGAACAGGGTGGGAAATGTACAGGAACGTTAACTCGGCTGCTGGTGCCGACTGCCAGCTTTTTGGAGACTTTCTCCCACATCCGCACCACATATACGTCACCCGCTGTCATGTTTCTCAACAATTTCTATCACAGAGATATGGAGACACCTTCCCAGCATGTTTGAATGTCACAAAACATTTATAAAGTTGTTGGAAATAACCCCGAAAAGAACCTCATTGAAAGAATTGTTGATGCAATCTTTTCGAATTTTTCAGAACAATTCAATTGATAGCAAACCGTGAGATTGACTATGAGAACATCACATAATGTCAGTAGAAGACCTCAAGGACCGGTACTGGGCCTAACGCTATTGGTACTTTAAATTAACGATCTAGCATATACCAACATTTCTGGTAATTTTACTATTTTTGAAGTCGATTCAACCATATAATAGTAAAATGAACATCCACACGTCGAAATTCAACAAAATCAAAGACTGTCATCTATAACGGTATCAAAATGTACGGTAAAGCAATTCTATTATGATATAATGCTCAAACAATAACTATCTTGATAAAACTAAAACTCAAAAATGAGGCATTTGTAAGTAATAAGTTCATTGGGATTTTATGTAAAATGATGGAGCATGCACATTTAAATATATAGGTATTAAAGTAAATGTGAGTAAAACAGATCAGCATAAATAAATTAATTGAAATAATCATATAACGTCAAACAGCGTCGTTTAGTCCATTCTTAGGTCTCATCAATAGCATTAGGCTGAACCACATATATTTTTTGACTCTAGTGTTGTAAATCATGTCCTAAAAAAATAACGCCCGCCGCCACTGGTAGTCATAAACCAATCGTGACGTAGCGAAGAGAGCATGAATGAACGATGTTCGCTGTCGCTCTAGATGTAGCAAGAATTCCGACGAAATTTCTACTGCATTCGATTACGATATATAAACGTTAGCCAGGAGCATATCGACACAGTTGAGTGGAAGTTACAGTGCGGTACGCGAAAAGATCTAGTAAGGCGACAGACATTCGAATAATAGTTGAAATTTAAATTTGAATGTTTATTGTATTTAAATTGAAATAAAGATAAGTTTCATTATTGTTCAGTGTAGTCTACGGAAAAAAAACGGAATACTATTGTCCTTACAGAACAATCCTCAGTATGAGTAAATAACATTAGTCTCATTTCTCAAACGACGTCGAAGCTTGGTTTTTGACTTATCAAAAACTCCGTGTGAATCTATAGACCATAGATGGTGCATTCGTAGGAATATACATCCATTCGTACTTTTTTCATCAACAGGAAATCATGTATTTTGTATTATTGAATATATTTACAATCCTAGAATGATTCATAATTCTCAATCAAAGTGTCAGAATTGACCTAAATTATTTTAAAACAATAGGTGAACAATAAATTGTTCAATGTTGGTGCAAAGAAGGCCATTTATTCATACAACTTATTTCTTAAATATTTTCCAAAAAAAACCAAAAGCCTTTTTCGATTGAAATACAAACATTAGATAAATGGAACATTACGTGATAGTATATACATTCAGTAACTGTGGATGTGACGAAAGTTTTATTTCATCTCATTTGAAAGAACTTTGCAAATGAGTGAACCATCATTGAATTTTTCACTGTCATATCAACGTCTTCAACTCCTCAAGTTCACGAGACGTGGCTCATGTCATTTTACAAGATGTTGGAACTGGTTAATGGATTTCACAGAACTATAGTGGATTTTGCCGAGAAAGAGGTAATATCTTGTATAAATTACTTCACCCGTATTCGTACATTACCGGGAACGCCTCAGGTTAGTGTATTTTCAACTTGGTTTCGCTATTTATAATCATAAAAGGTGCTACAATATTTTCGACAGCTCCAAACAATATTCACTATAAATAATAACTCTTGGAGTATCTTTCAGATCTGATTGTTCACTTAACAAGTGTTAGTAACCCTAAAATACAAGAATAATAAAACCGTGAAATTAAATCCATTTGAAACTGTGAAGATTGTGAAAGAAGAATATTGGTGAAATTAAACATTTGTTTCACAGTACAGGCAGAAGATCAGAAAAGTAAAGTGTCGTTCAATAAAACTTGCAGATTTGTAATTGGTTGGAATTGTTAAGTCTGTATGCAAATAGATGTATTCAAATATTTGAGAAATATATGAATGGCAAAGTCATTCGTGTTCGTAGAAGTTTCCTATAAACTTTTGTCATAATGATGAAAGCTGTTGTCATAAAGATGCACATTTCATGTGCCGTGGAAGAATACTGACTCTACTATTATGTTGTCCCATGCTATATGAATTCCATGTGACGGTAAACAAAACCAAACGAGACCGGCTTTTTCATTTGGATTAATATCAGTTGTTTGTAATTAGTCATGTCACAAAATTTGGTTCAATCAACGGAACGGCACACACACATGAAAATCATTAAACTACATTAAAATTTAATATCGTTGCAGAGCCGTGTAAATTCAGTGAAATGGAGAAATTGTAAAATGAAATTATTTTGATGGTACTGGAAATAATATCTCATCAATAATGAAGCACTTTATTAGCTTTTTAATAAAATGTTTAGGAAAGAAAATTGGTAAAAAGCTTTTATAATAGAACAGAAATCATATTTTATTCATCTTAAAGTTAAGATCGTTTTATTGAGATATTCAATTCATGCATTGATGTAACTCACGCCATTGAAGAGTTTTTCATTAATATATGACATATCAGAGATAAACTAAATTAAAAAAACTGGCGAGCAAAAAAAGGCTGTCCCTACATTGTTTGTTAGGAATAACAAAAACCGATAATGTTGAAGAACTCACCAAGTACCGATCAACAAACACATAAGGGCTCTGAACCAGTTATAGGGATATCAATATTATATACAAGTAACCCTTTATTGTTATTCACTGAATAGAACTGGCCGATACTTGATGAAAATCCATATTGAAAGTAATTAATACAGTATATTGTTTGATTTTTCTTATACAGTGTTTTACAAAACTGCAACACGTGTTTCGTTATACAATAGCTTTCCCAATCATAAAATAAAACACGCGAAACACTTGTCGAGGTTTTTGTAAAACCCTGTATAGAGAAATTCATACAATAAACTGTATAAGTTAGTTTTTATATATGTATATGATGGCATTATAGTTTGAAATTTTCATTGTACACAATGAACGAATCTCTACTTGAAGCCAATATTATTTGAAGATGTATTGAATCATTTATTTGCTATTCAATGATTTTTCATTTTCTCATAATTATCTCAAAATCATGACATTTCATTCAAAATAACAACTTTCGTTTCTGTCTTTTCTAAACTGAAACTTATAGAGACAATTTGTAAAAAGTTCAACTACAAATGTCACTCACCTCGTTTTTGTAGATCATCCCTTGAGATTTGGCTGGTGAGAGCAGTTGGCGTTGGGGGAAGGCCAAGATGGGGAGCTGTTGGAGTTCCTGGATACCAGGCCCAACCTGGAGTCTGTCCGTTGAACATTCTCAATTTGTCATAAACTGATTCATTCTGTGCGGAAGCCTGCTGTTCTTTTTGCGATGCCAAATTTCTGAGAACTCGATTTATAGACGAAACCTGTAACAATAGTAATAATAATAACACCAGAGATTTGATGGGCGGATTTAATGTTATCATGTATAATATGTTCGAGAACATGGTCTAGAGGAATATTCACGATTTACTTCATTTTATAGTAATGTAATCATATTGAACGTTAAATCATCAAACTATGCATCAGGCTGGCTTATTAAGATAAATTGAAGGCTATAAAAAACGAATTTATAACATTAGATGGTCTTGGTTCTAATTGAAAACCTTGTCAAAAATCCTACATATCGCAAACATCATTTGAAGGTATGAAGTTGACAAACATCTCAATGAACCACAATCTCACTATTCGGAGAAGATATCTGAATGGTGGGAAAGGTATCAATATCCATATCGAAAAATATAGAAAATGACAAGATACCATCTCTCATTTCCACAGTTCTGCCTCTATTGAAAGATAATTCTCAAAGACAGCAATAACTGTAACCTAAACTAGAATAAGGCTGAAAAATGATTCGATTCGAAGCCTGATGTGCTCCAATTTGTTGGGTAGCAGACGATCAAATGAAAAATCATTTGAAGAATTGAATATCTAATAATTAATTGCCTAATAATCTACATCATATGATTTTATTCATGTTGAGTGACAGATTTTCATTTTATATTCCCTAATTATTTTGTTCTGTTACCGAAGTTGAGAGAATCCTACTTTATTCTTTATTATGTTTTGACAAAAATTCAGTTTTCATTCATGTGTAATGGAATTGTCCGATGCTCGATAAAAATGCATGAAATGTTTTTAGAAACACTTTGCTGTGAGATTTCGACTGAATACGCCTGAAGAAGCTATTGTATAATGAAACACATATTGCAGTTTAGAGAAAATCCCATGGTAAAGTATTACTAAATAATTTTGGTTTTTATATGTACTTGACAACAAAAAAGTTTGGAATAAATGCTTTTCATTTTTAAAAGTTTTCAATCCTAGCCTAGACTACTACATTTCGCTATAAAAAACTGACACCAGGAATTCTCTAGCACTGAAACCGTTCTCATTACTTTCATCATGTGGGGCAAGATCGGATCTTTTCTGTTGACCAGTACCGTTCGCTGCTGAGGCAATTTTTGGTATATTTCATCTATTTCCTCATAGTAGATCTCTGCTGTGATGGTTTGTCCGGTTGTAGAAAGATAAAACAAATTACGCCAACCGGCGCTGACTACTATAGAGTAACCATGGTCTTTTTTCGGCGGGTTTTTGCTTTTGGGAAGTGCTTCCGTGACTTATCGGTGTCCAACCACTGTCCTGAATGTCTCCTGTTGTAGTAGAGGATCCACTTTTCATCACACGGGACGATTCGAACAAAATATAATCGCTTTGGTTGCGCAAAGGCAAAAAGAACTGACTTCGAAACGTAACAATTTTTATCGATCTTTCAAAACTTTTGAAAAAACCTAATATTGTCAGGTGCTGTTTGGACATCTTTAACAAAGCATCACATCAAAATATTGTATTTTTTGATTTATGAAATTCCGAATGACATAGATGTGGAAGAGTGAAAACTATATCTCTGCAATAACAGGCATTTATCAATAGTGATCAACCAATATGCCCCTATTGTGCTCTAAATATTCAAATTCAGCTCTTGGAAATAGTCCACATTATTACAATGCGCGCAGCGAGCGTATGATTACGAATTTTTTAAACCGGCTCCGTCAATTACGCTAATGAAATTAATGGAATTGCATGTGGTATTGTTGAGGCCACAGGCCACATGTCACGAAGTCGCCCTGTTTCTGACACACTAGATCCCAAAAAGTGATAGCTGATTTGGCAAAAATTCATTTTACATGTATTCGAACATACGTCAATTGGGTTTTCTGATTCAGACAAGATAAAAAGAATCGATGCGTCCCTTTCTATGCAGAAAGAACGAGATAAAATATACGGTATGGTATAAAAAGGGGCGCGAGGGGTAGTTTTTTGAATGGGATCACCAAAGCGTGGTCTGGCCATTCAAGTTCGGTCATATGTGAAATAGTCAGAGGTGAATGGGGGAAATAGGAGCCGGCGAAAGGATGGGAAATTATGTTCTCGAAGCAATCGTTTCCGCGATTCATTAAAGGAGTTGCAATTTCCTGTGGTATATAGAAACATTTGGAACTGGATGATGGACTAACTCAAAGTAGGCTTACACAGATTCTCACTTCAATTCACCCTGAAGGCAACTTCCACATCCAATGTACTTGAATATTATTGAAATGAGTCTGACGAGTCATAACTTCATGAGGGACGAGGTATTTCAAGTTACAATTCATTCATCCAATTTCGGAATTGTCAGGTGTTGCTCCACTAATACATACTCTTCGGTAGCGCATTATGACCCTTTCTTGCACGGATACGCATTACTGACGAAGTCATATGTAAATAAACCAGAACACGTGTTTGCAATTTTAGGTGATTTGTTTGTGAATATATTTTCTTTCAAAGGTAAAATTGGAAGCTCTGGTGTAGAATAAATCCAAAAACACTCTTTTCAATTACCAGAAATGCAATAATCTTCTCGTCAAACGGTAGTTTTTTCATTACCAGAAGATGCCAACTTGATTGGTTAAACGCGAGTCGAGGGGAGTCTTGTACTCCTGTTGATTGTGAAAATTGTATTTCTGGTGATTGTAAAAGGTGCTCCTTGTTGGACCTTTCCTTTTTATTTGAGAGAGAAAGAAAGAGAAAGATGAATAATTTAAAACATAATTTTCAATAGATTCAATTAATGAAATATAGTAAAGAACAAATATCCTTAATTAATGTGAAAACAATTTATGAGACATCAGTATCAAGGTGAAGTATGAAATTTGTTCGACATTTCGAAAATCCTAAGATTGGTATAATGACGGAAATATGTTTTTGTGATGCACTGTTTGGAACCTTTGGTGTAGTAATGAATATTACTAGAGTTCAATCCCAACACCAAACCGTTATTATTAACATCTCGACACGTGTTTCAATCACCAAGTGATCATCTTCAAGAGGAAGAATGAACTTTCTTAGTTCAATCTTCCTGTGATGGATAATTGAACATTATTGTCGTATATAAAATGATCGTTTTTTATGATTATTGCCTGCGAATTTTATTTCTATGGATGAATGAAATTGTTGGTGTCCTTTTTTAATGATTATTTTCTGCGATCTTCATTTCGACGTAAAAGTACCCGATTTACTGAAGTAAAGCTTGTCGCCCACTTGTCGGACACAGCACAGCATGGCCCGTCCCGGCAAAATACGGATAGGATTGGACCAATGAAAATGAATGGACAACCGTCCACTAGCCCGGCACGGCACAGCCAAAAGCGTCCGCCGCCGGAAAGGATTCCAGCTCTCCGATCCTGTCCAGCAAATAACGGTACGTACTGTGACGGACTGGCCAAGTGAGCGCGTCGCCAGCCAGCGCTTGTCAGCATCACCAAACGTGCCTGGAAAGTTTCTGTTTCTCTGTTTTGCTATTCCATCGGTTACTGGAAAAATGTCTCCTCGTCTTCATTCAGGTCATTGAAAAGATGATGAAACTCTCCCAGATTTGCCCTCTTTTGAATAATGGGATGGACCCACATCCTTCTTTTTTGTGACAATTTTCTTCTACATTCAATAATGCGGCCACTATAATGACGACTCCTTTGTCAGAACTGCTAGTGATAGACATGTTTCTGTCACCGCTGGATGTCAAATGAAATTCCTTTGAAATCGAACAAACAGCACATTTAGTATGCTGGTCGTGGTCAGGCGACGGTCAGCGCTGTGCTGTGCCGGAGAAGTAGGCGACAAGCTTAAACATCACATCAGTCAGTTTGGATTGTCGGGTTTGAACAAATAATCATTGCGGAAAGCATCAGATGACTAGTCTCTACTTGAGAAAAAGAATCAGATGTTAAATTCCCTGTCTTGCAATTTAGGAGTGAAGATGATAGACTACAGGCCCATGTTGAAAAAGTTATGGGTCATTTGAACCACCAGGTGACCTATCTAGAACGATATAAGATCATAAAATAATAAGATTCAGCTCTATGCCGTCACTTGTAAGCTGTCCAACTGAGTGCAGGTGAGAATTCGAAAGTACAGGTATAGTGAGTACATTTTGGTCACATATTTTTGTTCGATAGATCCATTAAAAATAATAAGAAAACACGCAGTGCCGTAAAAAAATGGTGCGCCACAAAGTCGGAATTTATTTCTATTTTCCGACAATTACCAGGGTAAATTTGCTTAATTTTGGTCAGGCCAGTTGAGACTGGCCTGAACGGATTTTTATTTTAGATAATTTGATTTACAGCCAATCTTCAAATATGCCCCCTTACTATATCAAAAATTTCAAATCCACGTATTAAATCGTGCGTGAAGTTTATACCTAGTGAATATAACGTATTGCAGTAATTTATACCTTCGAATGGTAATTAGTAATGTTTTCAGTAGTTTCTGTGAATTTCTAAAAATCAACACCTTGAAAAATTTTCTAAAAATGATATGATTTTTATAAGATGATGATAAAATTGGGGTTAACGAATTTTTCGGTCTTCGAAATTAAGGTCACGTGAAAAATCATATTTTTGAGCAGTTTTCCAATCTTTCATTTTTCTTCAATATTTCTCAAGTTTTAGATCACGGTATCTTGAAGATTGATTGAAACCTAGAATTCCAATGATAAAATGGAAGAGTAATCATTATTCATGAGAGGTTTGATCAATGCTGATCTTAATAACTAGGAATCAACTCTAACAAATCAACTCACTCATTCAGATAGTACTCAAACGAAACATTTTTTAGAAAAGAAACGTTTTGGCGTTTTTGTTCTTCATCATTATATAAAAAGTGGAAAATTTCCAATGAAAGGAAAGAAAAACGAAATAGACATAAAAAACACTTCATAGCGATGTGTGGATCACTATGCATAGATGATTCATGCAGATACAAATGGGAAGAAAGAGTCCATCCAAAACAAATACTTTCCAATAAATGAACATCGAACGACACG